CCGCTAGAAAGAGGCCCTCGGGGCTGAAAAAGTTATCCCAAAAAAAAAGCCCAAATTTTCAATAGAAATCCTGTAATTAGGTATCCGAATGTTCCCCCGAATAAATTAGGTAAGATGTATTATTGAGGAAGAACGAAGTGATGCTAAAATATGAGTTTGTGGTACTATTTGAGGGAGGTTCGAGAGGAAGAGGAAAGGTCGAAGATACGAAACACAATAGAAGTTGCCATATCGAGGGCGAATTATTTAGCGGACGATAAAGGAAAACTTAAAAGCCTTAGGAGAAAGGAAAACGTCGAAGGTGACATAGATCCATCACGTAAAAGGAGCACGAGAGGAAGTATTTCGGGGAGGAAGAAACTCTACGGTGTGGATAACTATGTCAAGATCGAAGATATCCAGGGCAGATAAGCGAGCCGGGGTAGACGGAAGAGGAGGGGGGTTTGGTTTTTTGGAATAAATAATAAAACGACCGAGAAATATTTTCGGAATCGACATTTGAAATTCAAAAATCCATCGATCGAATTGTAAAATACGAAAGACAATGCCAATTCTTCTTCCATCGATGGGGGTGTGTAAGAAACGATTGTGTACGGGGAACAAAAGATTATTATATTTACAAGTAAACTGATTTACATGTGGGGAAAAAGTCACGAGAAGACAGTGGCTCTTTATGGCATCGTGGGATCCTGGCGAATTTGAATTAGGGGGGCTCCACATACAGTATCGACTCCAGACATATTTCTTCTGGGGAAATATTTTCGTTTAAAAGGTCGGTCCGGGACCCCTTTATGCTCATAGGATAACGTGCCATGCGAGAAGAGGAATTTTAAAAAAAGAGAAATGAGGGGTAAACATGGCAAAGATAAGAAAAAAAAAATTCCAGGTAAGAAAGGAGATTTATCGATGGAAGAATATTTTCGTCAAACGAAAGAAAGGAAAGGTAAAATGAGAGAATCGTGACTCGTTGAGTTGTTGGGTGAAGAACCGTCGTTAACATTGGCCTTATATAAAAGTAGGAACGAGTCTTCCGCGGTCAAGTATGAGGTCGACGTAATCGCTCGATCATTTTCTGTTTGCCATCCTTTGTTTTTTCTATTATTATTATTATTATTTTCGTTCTATGGCGATTTAGCTCGGTTCTCGAATTTCCTCAAGATTATCGAGGAACTTGGAGAAGAAGAAGAAGAAAAAACAAGTAGGAATTTCTCTTCTAAATGACGAAACATTCCTGTTGTTTTCGTCGCTCAATTTCGTTCTTTATAAATCCCTCGTCGAAGCGTGCGACAATACGGAAACACAGTGTATTGTTTCTCCTTCTGACGAAAGTGTTACGTTTAATTTCATTTTCTCACGTGGTCGAGTGTGTCCCTGCGCGTGGATTTCGTTAAGGAAGTAGCGTCAAGACGAACTTCCGGAGTTTTTTTGGGGGGGGGGTTTTACGAAATGTCGTCGTATTCGTGAAGATGCTTCGAGATTCCCCGGGCAATTCGTAAGTTTAAAAAATACGCTAGTGTTTATAATTTAGTTCGATTAAGAATTTAATTCTTCTTTGGAAATTCTATTTTGAAAGAGAAATCGGAGCCAAGAACCAGTTAATGGTTCCGGTTTGCGTTGGAAAATACGACATCGATTTCTATGGGAAAACGACTACTCGGATAGGAAATGTGTTAGGGGAACGAATTACGTCCATAAGTCAGGCGATGCCTCCACTTCATTCTACGCCAACGAACCCGGCAATCGTTGCAAAGGCGTTTAAATCCTACGCTCGACTGAAGGGGCCTCCCGTTTCTTCTTCGGAACGGTGACGTCGAAGAAACTCCCCTTTTTTTGTGTGTGTTTTAAAGAGTAGAAGAGAGAACGAAGGTCGAAGAAATTATCCGAGGGCCTTTTTCCCCGCTGACCCACTTTGAAAGAGGGGAGCCCTCACTTTTAAGTCGTTAGTGAATCGAGAAAGGAAGACAAAACTCGGTCCGATTTCGAACCCGGACGCCTCCGAAGACGAGATTAATTCTTTAGGGAATAGTTAATTTGAAGTTACGCTTAACTTGAGAGGGTCTGAGACTGAAATTTACGAAATTTTTACACGTATTTTTACGGTCGGAGTTTCCGAGAAAACGCGTGTAATGCGGCGCGACGTCGTTTCCGGTCCCTAGAAGGGCGTAGCGTAACGAAACACACTACGAATACTTCTCGAAATTGCTACGAACAAACAAAAAACATATATATATATATATACACTTAATGCGTGGCGGGCGTTACGTCACTTAACTCGACCCGGTCCTATTCTATTTATACTGTTGGCGATTGTCGATAATTACAAAGCTAAAACAAGTGGAGAAGAAAACGCAAATACGGTTGAATGTACTTAATTCGGTGTTATATTTACGATTGCCTCACAATGTTACGTTTAATTTTAAGTTAATTTAAAATAAATGGCATATTTAGAACAAGTGGACGAGGACAGCTTCCACGAAACTCGTTCTCCTCCCCTTTAAATGATGCAAACAAAAGGAATTAATACAACACAAGAACCAATGAAAATTGAAAGTGTTTCTTTTATGGTCCGTCTGTCTTCGAAATTTCTTTATTTGAAAAGAAGGTTCGTCGTCCATAACTCGAAATTGAATTGTTCGCTTTGTTGTCCTTCTCGATACGGATGCGTACATTTGTTTCTGTACTTTTTTCCTCGTCCAGGTATACCTGAACGTGTGATTGAGACAACTGTCTTGTTTATTTTCCATAAATTATAATCGTAAAAGTGATTGAGATACGTAATATTACACCACCCCAAAACGAGAGGCTTTGATACAGTACTGTATTTTATAATCTACGTATGAAAACCCCCAAAATTAAATAATTAAGTAAGAATTTAGTGATGTAATTTTAATTCCAAGCTTTGACCCCCCACCTGGAAAAATTTCTGGGACGTGCAAGCGGCCGAGATTATTTTATAATTGGAAAAATCAATGGGTATTTCTCTCGATTTACCGTTTTTTTTCCGACGAAATTTCTGCGAAAATAATGTAAATTAGGGGGTGGGATAACGATTCGTTTCCTCTCTTAATCTGAATTTGGGAGTGAAATTCGTTCCGTTTCGTTAAAAACGACAAAACGACGAACTTTGATAACCGAGTGGAGGAAATTGCGGCCATAAAAAGTCGTCGACCGTCTTCGTTAAATCGAGGGGAAATTTTACTAAATGTAAAACGAAATTTTCGGCATTCGAATTTAATTATCTTTAATTTATACCCAACTTCTTCTTCGCTTTGTTCCGGAGAAACGTGCGAATCTAGTATAATGCGCAGCCTAAATTAAATAAATTACATAAAGGAAAACGACGTTAAATCGCTGATTAAACTGCTTTTCTTCCCCCCCCCCTTTTTTACGAACGTAAGCAGAAAAACGTTCTGCATTGTCCTAGATACAACCATAAGTTAATTTCACGAAGAGACACTCGAAAGACACTTATACAGTGGACATACGTTATTAAATTTCGAATTTAATCAATAAAAACCTTCAGATTCGTATAAATTTATGCGAATTTTTTTTCTTTTATGTCGGTGGCTTTCGTCACACGGGGGCAAACACCGATATCTACGTCATCGATGCGTAACAGATTAATTTCGATACGCAAACGAGATTTTCGAAAAAAAGAGAAGCGAAATCTGCCGTAATTGAAGAGAGAGAGCGCGTGTAACTGGTCCAGGATAAGGGACGAAGCCAAACCGAAGAGGTGACTTCGCAGCGACCTGTTCCGTGACGAGTTCGTTTGTCTTCTTTTTCTTCTTCTTCACGCGAGAGCGAACGCTTCAGTATTCCGGTTTGACGTTCGGTCGAACGGAAACGACCCCATCTTCTCATTTCTGCTTAAATCGGTGCCAAAAAAATCTTTCCCAAATTCGAGAAAACGTCAAAAACACTCGGGGACTTCTACTACCGTTTGTTCTTCCCTTCCCCCTCCTGGCGTAACGTGACGGCGCCTCTTACGTAACGTGGAAAACATCCCAGAATATTTTGAAAATTTGGACGTTGATCTTTGTCCGTGGGGCCAACTTTTCGAGGAATTTCCAAAGCGGGACGTAAATTATTCGACCGGTTTCGCGGGTAACACCGGAAGACCGGTCTGTCAAAAAGACGAGATTTTGCGTGGGTCGCAAGTTGTTGCTACCTCTCGAAATAACGCATTTTCTGACGTAATATCGAAAGCCTCATACTATTGTAATTCCACCCTTTATGTGTTGTTTGAGTGTTTGTTTGTCCAGCTTCCAATACCCCGAGGAGTTTAAACGTGAATCATTATGTTTTCGTTCGTTCTTTGGGTTATAAAATTGCCAATTTTTGTTTTTTACCCATATTCGCGTCTACGTAATGTCGCCACGCTTAAATTTCGGAGATTCGAGGTTCGAACGTTTTCATTGGTAGAGGGAAAGAAAGGGTTGCAAATTATATTTGGAATGTACCAATGAGAGTTCAAGTATTTGCCCCCGACGGGTGACGTAATATCCCAATGTTCCGGTAAGTTTCTCGTCTCTAGTTTGAAAATTTCTCCGTCGTTTCCGGTAGAAGTTCGCTTCCGGTGGCACTTTCTTCGCCCGGTTCCTAAATTGGCTCCGGTATGGTGCCCGTGAAAATACTCCCAAATCGGATCTCGAAGCGCAGCTGCTCCGGAAACAGGTTTCGTTCGGTGGTCGTTGGCCTGGGGGAATTTCGCTCGGGCGCCAAATCGGCGCTCGATTCTTATATCAGAAGGGCCCTTTCGGAGGGATCCGGGCATCCTCCTCCTCCTCTCTTCTCTCTCTCTCTCTCTGTCTTTAGGCGAATTGGGACGCGTTTCCGGTCTGTCGATCTCCCGGGACCGACCGGAAAAAGCCTTCGCCCACCGGAAGTCTCCGCCCGGTGTGGTCGGGACTAGCGCCGCGTTTCGCGCGCGCGTCGCCGATAGTAATGGCGACGTTAAGCGTTGCGTTCGGAGGTCAATAACACTGCGGTCTTTGCAGGTCGTCGAGGATGCCGGCCGAGTCCGGAAGGAGCTTCCCCGCGGCCTTCCTGCTGCTGATGCTGATGTGGCTGCGTCTGCCCTCCCGACTGCGGGCAGAACCAGGTGAGTTTCTTTTCGCTCCGTCGATCGACCGAAGAAGCCAAAACTCCCATCCGCTCCGCGCGCCGTTCGCGCGCTTTTCTCTACCATACTTCGGCGTCGCGTGCACGCGTCGCTGCCTCGCGATTTCTTTGCGTAATTCGTTTTTCGTCCGCGCGTAAACCAAGACAACAAACTACGTAATATCTTCCATAATTTATTGTAAAAATGGACAATTCTCGGATGGGTTATTAGCGGAATGCGTGTCTTTCTTTAAGCTCCGTTACGCGTACGTTCGACCGACCGAGTGAGAAAATAATCGAAAGTAACGCTTTGTCGATAATTATAATTTCGTTACGCCGCGTCGGTTCGTATTTTTCGAAATTTACATTTTTCTCACGAATATAAATTTCTGTGGGTAAGCGCTCGATAACGATTTTTTTTATTTTATTTTATTTATTCTTCCCACTCCTCCTCCTCTAACGGCGCCCTCCAGTGTTAAACGAGAGAAACGATTTGCGTCGGCGACCAAACGTGGCCGGGAAAGACGGTGCGACCTCGCCTCCGTCACGTTTTCATCTCTCACGAAAAATTTTCTCTTAACACGAAGAAATTAAATCGAAACAATTACTTCTTGTTTTCTATATATTTCTTTCCCCGAAATTAAATTTGTTATTTAAAACCTCATTATCTTCTTGCCGGATTGTAGCATTATATGTCGGAAACGAAAGGCCAATTCTCGTAATTGTAGAACGTGAGATTAAAACGGGGACAAGCACATGGAAAGAAGATCTTTTACCCGAATTTTTCGGCCTATCTCCCCCCTTTTATTGCGTATACTTTTGTTTCAAAATGGCGTCTTATCCCTTCCTACTGTAGCGCCCTCGTTGGGAGTTACCGTTCAGGTAAATTTCCAGCAAAGAAAAATCAATTAATAAAGCTTTCCAGGTGATACTAACGACGATAACAAACCACTTCTCCTTACTCCCTCGTTAAGATAGTTATTAAAAAGCTACCTGTCGAGTTAAGTGCCAGTTAATTGACAAACTGGCTACACTTAAAGAGATTTCTACATGCCCTACACGTGTTCGTGTAGGGGGGGAGTATGTAACACGTTACAATTCAAGATTTCCTCACCTCAGAATATGCCTAAATTTTATATAGAAGGTTATTTAACGTAAATATTTGTCGTCTATAGGTGGAGCGCATTCTAATTCTATGAGTGGCAAGTGTAATCAGACAGTGGGGAAGGTGGCACGAAACAGTGGAACGGTCTGGAAAATAATAGGTTCTAAGTTACTGCTTGCCACCCATCTAGTATAAAACGGGTTAAGTGTACGCCGGTAGCGCTTACGACGTGTTTTCGAAGGACGTAGCATACACTACGTCACGTTTTCGTGCCCTTCGGAAACACTTCTCTCCCTCTCTCTCTCGCTCTTCTTGCACCGCTTTCGGTCGTATTCGAAACCCTAAACCAATAAATTGGTTAGTTTTAGTGTTAAAATTTGACACCATCGTGGGAATTTTAGAAATCGTGACGAGAAATACAAACGTTTGGCAACAATGCCGGCGTGACGGTAATTGTTTTCCAATTATCTCGACCACAGAAAGCTTAAGGTAGAAGAATAAATATGGAGTCGGGAATAAGTGTTGCTCTCCCCCAATGATTGTAGATAAGATATTGAAGTGCATTCCGGTGATGAAATATTGGCTCGCGCGACCTCGTACCCGTTGTTTATCCGCATTTTTATCGTAAACGTTCCAAATTTTTCCTCATTTTTAATGGATTTTCAATGGTTCCGGCTATAAAACTTTTAAAACTTAAAAGTACAGTATCTACAACTCGCATTCGTCTTATTCGAATATCGCGTTAAAGGAGTTCGAAATACACTCCAACCTTTTTTCTTTAGCAAGCCCGTTATGGGTTCGGCCAGTCCCACAATGGGGTGAACGTGTGTGACAGGCACCGGCTCGACATATCCGAAAACGTCAGAATTTCGATATCTTGTATCCCTTCCTCGTGTTTTTTTTTCCGTCTATTGTATTCGCATTTACTTATTCTCTATTGTATTTCTTACATCCTTCCGGAATTGGTTTCGTCGATGGTTGCAGTTTCCGGTTTTCTTTTGTTTTTTTTTTTTTCAACTCGGTACCCATGTTAGGCCCTCCGGTTTTTCTCCTCTCACCTTTCGATGCGTGTGACGAATAATAAGGCCATTTTACCGTCAGCTGTTGCCTCCAGCTGACGTGGTAAGAATGCCCTTTTCCGACAGATTCTTACCATTAATTGTGAAAGGAGGAAGGACCGCGGGAGAGGTATTATCGCCTCTAACGATAGAAAAATACGTCCTCGCTTTCTATCCGGGATACTGGAGGAGAGGAACCAATTCCCACCCTCGAGTTTCGGATAAATAATTCACCAGGAAGTGGCTGTAAAAGGATAATACGATTTCAGTACTCGAAATTGACCCCCCCCCCGCGGAGATTTCCCACGAATATTCTTCAGTTGTACTTTTATTTTCTCCTGTCAATCGTCGAAACTTCGCGTATAAAACACAACCTATTTTCCGGATTGGAAGACGAACTTCACCTGTTTTTTTTTTTTTTCGAGGCCGATTACCCAAATCGGTCGAAACAGAAACATTCGTTTACCCCAATTTTATAATGCGATGTTTACCTTTTTGTTCTCCTCCTTCGAGGGAAAAAAAAACGCGTAGAAAAACAATAAATAAATAAATAAAACGTGGCACAACTTTGGACAGGGAATTAAGGGGAATTCCAACAAAAGAAATCCATTAACTTTTAACGTTAATTGACAAAATTAACGGCGCGGAAGAGTGTTTAGTGGTGTTTTTCTTTCTCGATTCTGCAGATTTTGGTAGAGAATCCCCCCCCGTTACTAGGGAACAACGATCCGTTCGAACGATCTTTTAATGAAAAAAAAACGATACTGGTGTTAGAGGAAGGAACTGCGAAGAGGTTCCCCCCTTGTTTTTGGGGGGTAGGCGATGAGGAGAGGATCGGACCCGTTGCGTCTCGAGAGACCTAGATAGGAAAGTGGACCATCGGTCTACATGTCTCTCCAAGCGTGATGAGTCGATGTTAAAGAAACCCGAGTCTATTGTTCCAGATGAGGACTTCGATAACTCAATTCGGAGCCGTTGTTCTCGGTGAAAAAAGAAGAAAGAATTGAAGATCGGTGACAAAATTCTTCCATAATTGACCAGCATTCGAATCTGTTTCGTATCATGAAGCGTGAACGAAATTCGAACCAAGTTTTCACGCCAAAAACTTGCCTCTATGGCTCGTAAAATGGAGAAAAAAACTGTGTTAACAGAAGGAGGATTGTTCAAACACCAGATTAAAGTGAAGAAAATGTAGAATCCTCTTGTTATTACCACGCGATGCCATTATTCAAAACAGTACCCATTACCGGTAAAGATAGACATTAGTTTATAGAAGCACTTGTAATTTTATGAGGGGGGATAGAATACATTGAAAGAGTATTAAAATTCTCAAAGGGGGGGATCGTCCGGTGGCTCGAAACAAGTTTCCTGAGCGGATTAACCTCGAAAGATTAGCATTAGTCTCGCCCCACATACGTTTTACCGACGACAGATGACGAGCTGTTCCGTCACCTGTTCCGTCACCTGTCTTGTTTATTTGTTAATGACGTTCGAACGAACGAACCGAGCGTTGACGATGATTCACCACTCGAATTCCGATATAAATCACTAAGAAAAAACATATTATGTATGGAAGAAAGAACGAAAATTATCCATAGATTGCCTGCAAATTAAATCGAGAAAGGCTCCTTTTTATTTTGTTTCCACAATCTGGTTTTGTGTTAAATTTATTCTGGTCTTTCTCCTCCCTTTTATAATTACGTCAAGCCCTTTTAGAAAATTACGGAAATTGCGATATGTTCGTTCTCCTTCCTCTTAAAAGTGCCGCGACCTACATCATTTTTTTTGTATTGTTTTAATCGTTTTTTAGACACTTCTCTATCATTTTCTTATTTTATATTTAAATCGTGGAGTGTTTTACACAGTTTAATCTCTTGTTTCATCTTAAAAGATAAGAATTTATTGGCTTAAAATGTTTTTTAGGGGGAAACCTCTTATTATATGGGTAATTGAGGAAAGAAATGTATTATAAGAAAGAATATTTAAACGTGTACTAGCCGAAACAGCGAGACTGTTGATTCACAAGTTAATAATAAACAACGATGAACTAGTTTATTAATGTAAATATGTTTAGAACACTAGAGGAAATTCGCGTGTTTGTATTACATTTGAGCGCTCTGCCAAGGGGGGTGCCACCCGGAAGGACTTTCTATGGGAAACTAGCCCCTATTCAGGTGTTTACAAACGTCAAGAAAACCCGAAAATGCACGTGGTCGGCCGGTTGGCCAGGTGCGAACCCACAACTAGTGTTTGTTGGTTTTATCCATTCAGTCTCTTGTAGGCTGGGAAAGCATGCGGAATCGTATTTTTTTAACACTCGAAGAGAGGTTAAACACATCCCGGTGTAAAGTACACATCCTTCTCCAACAAAAGTACTTGGTAATTACGAATTCATGTTTCACTCGACAGTGTCTGACTTCCTATTATTTTACGAGAAGTGTTTTGATGGGAAGAAAGGATCGTTTTGTTCTTGTTTTTCTTCTTCTTCTTCTTCTTTCTGATCCGGTTTTGGGTGAAATTTGCCAGCTGATTTTTATTTTCCGCGTATGAAATTCCTATCGAATATTTGGAAGCGATTCTTTCGTATCAGAGAAACTAGGCTGGTCTTACTGACGTATCCATCTTTTCATTCTTTACCCCCTTATTGATACCGAAACAAAGCCACCCCTCTCTTATCTTACACACGTAAAAACACTTCATTCGACACTATTCTTTTCGAAGATAATCATCTGTACTTCAAAACACGTCTGTAATATTCAAAGTACCATTAATTAGAGGTATAAAATACCACAAAAATCACTCGAAAAGTCCCTTAGATAAAGAAAGAAAACACTGGAAAATATTTAATAATAATAATATTTTTTTCTTTGTTTTGTTTTCGGCATGAACACACTTGATTTAGATTTTCGTCCAGGCAATTCGTGACCGTGAAAAAATCCTCGAATGTACCAAATGATTATTAATGGGAGCTTATTCGTTGCGCGGTTGGCTTGTCGCGAAAAAGTTCGAGAATTCCAGCGATGACGTCATTAAAAACGTTACGGGTTACGACCGAATAATCTCGTCTTCCACGTATGAAATCATTGCCGAAAGTTTCGCGTAAGAATTGGAAGTTTTCTGTACTTTTCATTAGCCAGGTTGCGGCTCGAAGTTCGAACGTGAACGTCGAACGTCGAGCGCCGCTTTGGGCATTTTAATTAATTGTATTGTTTTTAATGGGTATAGTTTAAATCCAAGAATTTCGAGAGATGACGAAATGACGTAACAATTAAAATGGCATACAGCGACGGGTTCTGTCGAAATGAAAACAAAAAAAAAAAATAAAGGTGGAACGAAACCTTTGTCATGTGTCGGGTTTCGAAAACAAAAAGCGTGACGGACAAGGTCACGCTCTCTAACACCAGCTTTTATACACGTAGAACACTTATTTCCGCTCGCTCTCCCCTCCCAGTGACGACACAATACACGTCGTGTGGCGCCAAGTTTACTTATTTCGGCCATTTTAATCGAGAAAATCCTTCTAAATCTCGTAATTAAGTATGGTGTAGGAATCGCGATCTCCTACCTATTGAGGCAAAGGAGTTTAATTGTGTAGAGATAAACTTTATTATTCTGCACACTTGTAGAAATCTTCTAGAACTGTTTTCTAGAAAATTTCCAGCTTCGTAGGTTAGAGAAGAGCTCACGAAGATCTTAATTAACTCGTCACTCGAAAATAAACAATAGCCAGATGGTCAGATAGATCTTCGAATTGTTTTATATGGAACAACTCTTCTATTATAGTCACGACGCTTATTTATAGTGGAGTCTATAATAGGAATTTTAAAATTCGATGCGACTGATTAAAGAAATTCAATGTTACCCCCTTTTGTATTTCCTGTATGAAGCTTTTTTTTAAAGCTTTGTTTACTTTAAAAAGGCTTCCTTCATACAGAAGGTTTAAATCGCAAGTGTTTTGTACAAATGTCAGGTGGCAATCGAAGGAAACGAGGCGAGAGTTATAGAGATTCGATGCTAGGAACAGCTGTTCCTTTAAAATCGAAAGGAACACCTGCCACAAAACTTTACACGGTTAAGGAAGAATTTAAACACGTACTTAGTCTGGCAGCAATAGAAGTAAACTACAATACAGTACACTTTATTCGTAGTTTAATTAAAGTAATTATTATTATACGATGTTTACATTGTTCGGCAAGGATTTACAACTCTTTCCTGGTAGGAACACGTGTGGAATTGTTGGTATAAGTATGGGGTTGTTATCCTACTCGTAAATGATACAGGAAATAAGATTGAAGCGCGTTACCATTGTCATTTAACTTGATATTTTTGTTTTTTTCTGTGTTATTTGCGGCCGTAGATAGAGAAGGAGTAAAGAGTAAGTAGTGTGGTGTTGGGATTATCTTCGGGTGTCGATATAACTTTTTGTAGACTTAACAATCGCCGTTCAGGTGGCCCGGGGCGTTTTTTCGATCATCGACTGGAGGAACGTGTTACCCCAGCCCCGGGCCACCACCGTCCGAAATGGCAAACACCTGGTTCCTTTCCCCTGTTTACCTCCCCTCTTCCGTCTTCCCTCCAACCTTCTGGCTCTTTTCACCTTCTTGGAGGAAGGGGGAAGTTTTGTTGTTTGATGTGAGCCGCCTTTGATAAGAAATTGTGTTTACTGGTGGACGACGTCCAAATTTTATTTGGTTTGGCTTATATTTTTTTGTTTAAAGTCGGAGAAATTTAAGCGTAGAATCGAAGATAAATGTTATTTCTGGCTTTTACAAGTCCTAGAAAAAGGGTAAAACTTCTCCCGAAGAAGAATTCTGTTGTTTAATTAAACAGTAAGATAAATATTTCGTATTATTACAATAGGCTCTCGTTAATTCGAAACTAGTCCCCCCCATCTGTCCCTCACTATTTAAATCAATGTAAAATTCTCTCGGTAATTCGAACTCGCGTCGCTTCGTAGAGATCGATCGAGTATCGCGTCGCGTGTCCAAATCTGTCTAATTAAGCGCCTGTTTTATTTTCAGACGACCTGTGCTATCTGACTGACGGAGGATCTTCGGAAACCATCATCGTCAACGAGAACCTGAGCGAAGGTAAGAGAAGAAAAATCGCCGAGATGGAAGGGATAGCGAGAAAATCGGAAACTAACGTCGATTGTTTCTTCAATAGGGAGCGTGGTAGGTCGACTGTCCATTTCCGGTCAACCGGGAGAGAACGGCACCATTCGTTTGAGTCTGGTGCCACCCGACGGCCCGGTGGTCATCCGACCCGACAGCAAGGAGTTAGTCTTGGCCAGGAAATTGGATCGCGAAGGGATGGAAGGACCTCCCAGCGTAGAGTTCGACGTCATCTGTTCGCAAAAGGGAAGCGACGAATTGGTGAGTCTCTCTCTCTCTCTCTTCGAATTAAACCACGTGAATAGATCGCGGGTTCGTGACCTGTTCGTGTGGTTTTATTTATGAACATGGATGCGAAGATCCAGAAATCTATTAAAATTGATAATTTCCTTTCGTAAATCTATTAGAGAAGAGGAAAAATTTAATTAACTGCAAGTTTATTTGGCAGAGTATTACCATTCCGGTTAGAATAATAGTAACTGATGCCAATGACAACCGACCGGAATTCGTGGGTGCTCCTTACACCGTCAACGTCAGCGAGGTACGTAACATCCGGTTATCATCATCTCTATCTCTTCTCATTCTCTGTATTTGATTTGATTTTTTGATGTTGGAACAGGTGTCGGTGGTGGGAACGGTGATATATCGTGGCATTCGAGCCGTCGACAGAGACCAAACGGGACCCTACAGCACAGTCGAATACTACGTGGAAGGAGGTGAACACTCGGTAAGTCGTTTGGATTTTTCTCTACCCTCCCACAAACTACACTGCTATCGACTCTATAAAATGGCTTTATCACTTTACAGCATTTGGTGGCCTTCAATACCCCACTCGATGGAATTCTAATACTCAACGCCTCCCTGGATTACGAATCTCTTCCTACCTTCTCCGTCTCCATTCGAGCTCAGGTGAGTTATACACTCGAAAATTTAATAGTGAAGAGGCTGAGGATACTATTTAACTTTTTTCTTGTTGGCAGGACCAAGGAGAACCCGCTCAAAGTGCCTTTACCTCCGTTACCGTCAACGTGCTCGACGCTGACGACCAAAATCCCAAATTCGTCTCGGATCGTTATACCGCATCTCTACCCGAAAATCCCAAACCCGTGAGTTTACCTCGACTTTGATGGACTCAAAATTTAGTATTTCACTTCGATTTAACCTCTTTCAATCACCGTTTAGGGGAAGGTGTTGAAGACCTCTCCCTCACCTTTGAAGGCGGAAGATCCCGATCGAGGAATCAGATCTCCCATAGTATACTCTTTCAATTCCAGTAAGTGATACTCGGTACACCCTTCATCAAAGAGTCCTTCATTCGAATTTTTCACCGGGCCATCTTTATTACAGATGCAACGGAATATGGTTACTTCCGTCTCCAAGAAGATACGGGCCAACTGTCTATTCGGTCTCCCATTCCCGACGACTTGTATCTTCCCATCACTCTGGTGATACGGGCTACGCAAGCCGATAATCCGGACAGATACGCTTTGACCACCCTGTCCATCTCTAGTTCTCGAATTTCCGCTCACCAGGAACTGACCTTCCTCCAGACCGATTATTCTACTTCGGTTCTAGAAAGCGCTCCTCCTGGACAAGTGATTCTGACCGTCCAAACCACCAAACCTCCGGATAAGGTATGAATAATCTTCCTCTTTAGCGCGAGATGATTCGAGAGATGTAAAACTAATCGAGTTTGTACCTTTCAGCACGTCACTTTTCGCCTCTTAGACAACCCCTCTGAAGATTTTGCCATTCATCCTACGTAAGTCCTTGCTGTACTTACGAATTTTCTTTGGTTAAAACGTTCATAAACGTTCTTTGTATTCGTTATTTTAGGGGTGAAATCATCGTCATCAAACCCTTAGACTACGAAAGTCGGCAACACTACAAACTGCGAGTCTTGGTTACCGATGGCACCAAGGTAAGACACGTGCCATTCTGCAAAAAAAAAATCGTTAATAATTCGCTTATCCTTAATCTTTTTTTCATTAATTTTTCTGGTAGAGCGATATTGCTCGTGTCAATATCAGCGTGGTGGACGTCAACGATCACGATCCACAATTCGGACAGAATCAGTACAGCTTTATAGTTAAGGGTTCCGACGTTCGTTCCGGCACTTTAGTAGGCAAAATAGAGGTGAGTACGGTAGTGGTCGATTACTGATTTGGTCGTAAAATACGAATGACATCACAAAATGGTCGTATTCGTACGAATCTCGAAGTAGATTCGTAACACCAAATATTCGGTAGGAAAGAAGAAATACCTTTATGCAGCTTTCAAAGTCGCATTAAGGGATCGTTCATAAATTTCAGCCACTGAATGATGAGCATGAAAATTCAGAGCTGATATCAGTTCAGCTCTCAGCAGGGGATCAAAATCTCAGATTGGCTCATACCCCAATTCAACTCGGCTCTGAGGACAACACCATAGTCAGATCGTGAGTGGAATGGGTGAAAGTAAGAATTGATTCTTTTACTTCCACTTTTTATTAAGGTGCAACAATCGAGAACATTGCAATTTACTACTTGAGTCATATATTGATTCTCCTAACGTGCAGTGCAGAAAACCTTACCGGTAGCGTAATTGCTGCATACTTAACAAACACCAGTAGAAAGACCTAACAATACCTAACGCCCCGATACCCCGAGTTACACAATTTATTGACAGCCCCCAAGGTAGATAGAAATCAACTGGAATAAATTATGATCAAATATTAGATTTGGTGTACGAGGTATTAACACAGAAGCGAAATATATGACTAGCTTAGTGGCGCGTTACAGCTTCATGAGGCCCAGGCGGATTTGAATTAGGTGACTCTATATAAGAACATTGCCTAGTTAAAAAGTTATTCTCCTATGTATATTATTAATGTATCCATTTTTAATGTTTTTAACAGTAATACAACAAACTTTCTGTTCCGTACATACGAAATTTATTTCAATTTTTATCAAGAAAACATGGATAGAAATTATAAGGAGAAAAATAGATTGCATATTGTCTTATACAATACGTGGTTGGGAGTTGTGATTTTTTACTCGGTAAACTTACAAGCAGTTATGGTTCCTACCCATTACAAATTAATGTTATAATTACATTGTTATAGTCTTTGAAAACAATACGAAGAACCTCGAATCGAATTTTAAGCCCGTTCTGAAGTGCCTTGTTTCTTTTCGTAGGTTAGCGATCAAGACGTAAACGATTCTATCGATTTGAGTCTAAAAGGACCTTTCGCCAGGTTTGTAATTTAAACAAATTCTTCTGAATGTGCGAAATTTTATTATAAATTTTCTTCCCCGTCTGCAGGATCTTCGCCATTAACGAAGAGGGAGAACTACGTGTGAGAAATCTCGATATTCTAAACGCTACCACCTGTCACGTAATAGTAGTAGCTACCGACGATGGAGTTCCTCCCAGACAGTCCAGCGTTCCGGCCACCATAAGCTTTCCGGATAATTTGGTACAAGAAATCATTCACAAACAGAAGAAAGACGACAGTTCCTTCATCCTGATGATCGTTTTCGGGGTGGTTCTTGGATCTCTACTTATCGTCATCGTCACTCTGACTTCTTACATTCTAAAGCAGTGAGTTTAAATGCATTGTAAAGTATTCGTATTATTTCCGAATTTCCATTAAAATTTCCTTGCATTTCAGCAAAAAGTACAGAAATCGTTTACCGACCATGAACTCCTCTCCGCGCCCTCCGGTAACCAAGATGGCCAGCTTCATGTCGGGAACACCTTTAGTGGCTAAAAGTCAAGAAGGAGTGACAAACAGATCAGGAGGAATGGAAAATCCCATTTTTAACATGGCCGATGGCAGTCGTGTGACACCGGGAGTCAATATAGAAGCCGTCAGGAGCGAGGTGGAGATGACGGACGAGGTACCACAGCACCCTAGTATTCAACCCAGGATGAGCAAGTATCAGGATCTGATCAAATCTGCCGGATCCATTCCCAGAAGGATAAAGAAACTAAGTTGGGAGGACGAACAGCCCAATAGGGTGAGTATCCGGAGCAAGATTTCTGAAAATACTGTACTAACAATGCGTTTGATGATCATGTACTGTACTTTTTCCCCCCTCTAGACGGAGCTGGATCCAGACGTCAGCGTGACACCACTGGGAAAATCGAGTCACCCCTGTTCTCATCCCGATCTGATGATTTACTTCTGAAGCGCCACGCCAATCACATCCTACTTAATTCGCGAATCCTGGTCTTCCGCGGCGGAAATTTTGTACACCGCCGCTGTAATATTTTGTACATATCTTCCCAGAAATTTTATATTTAATACGTCGAGGGTGATATGAATATTTATAAATAAAATGAGAAAAGAAATTTGGTATCGTCGATCGAGTCTTTATTCGCTCTGGTACAGAGATCTCAACACGTCTTTGTAGTGGTTCTCGATGGCTTTTCTTCGAACTTTGAAAGCCGCCGTCACCAGTTCCGTTTCCGGTGTCCATTCTTCGCTGCACAAATATACCTTTCGAGGAATTTCCCACTTTAACATTCGACCTGAAACGAAATAAACGTCATATTCCCACATAGGACGGTGGGCACAATGTACTGTAAGTAACTCACACTTGGTCCCATGGCCCACCACGGTTTCGGTCACTCGACGGACGATTTCTGCATCTCGACACATTTCCTCCCAACTAAGTCTTTCTTTGTCCAATTGTTTGGCCAAATTCTGTAGTTGGACCCGGTTAGGCGAGACTAGGGCTACGGCGAAGTCGTGCAGGCTGTTGGCAAACACGCAAACATTTTCTACTAGATGGCAGGACTTCAATTCAGATTCGATCTTTCCTAGTGAAATGTATTCTCCGTGTTGCAGCTTGACGATGTCTTTCTTTCGATCTGGCCAGGAAAGAATTTTATTCAGACCGTAGGATTCCAATTGCAAAGAGAGATATACCTGTGTTTTGCCATTAATACATCACATCATACTATAGAATAATGGTTCCCTATCCTCATGGATGTGTTTTTCTTACCGACAAAATGGCAATGTATCTCTTATTGCAATTGGTTATACGATTACAACAGATCTTTGAATGAAACTCTGGTACTTACCTATTATCTTAAAGTTTCCGTCTGGCAACAATTCTCCAATATCTCCAGTGTAGAACCATCTTGTGCCATTCTCGTCTTTGAAGCATTCTTCCGTCAATTGTTTGTTTTTGTAGTAACCTTCTGTTACGCAATCTCCTCCAATTACAATCTCTCCGCGAGGATTAGGTTTATCCGTAGGATGGTAATTTCCTGCAAGAATATTTAATACATTTTTAAAACAAAGTAAATTAGACTTACCAGTAGTATCTGTCTAACATGTAAGAACAGTAAATAATTTGGTAAGATAACGGGATTAAATTTCTCTTGAATTCCTATGTTGCTCCCGTGAAAGCGAAGATGCCACAGCAGTAATTCCACTTTAGTTAATACCATAAAACGCGTATTGCAAGTTAGTCTACTGTTGCAAAAGTTCAACAAGCTTGGAAAAAAAAGCATGTTTACGTGGAATATTTTTCATGGATTTCATTCTTTGCTGTACAACAATGCAGCTTGATATCAGCCCATTCCAATTGAACTTAATGAAGCAGAAGGCCTGACTTGTGAGGTGTGTAACTGTTGCATGACACCGAATACCTTGAACAATTGGAGTTAATATAGAATGTGGTTTTGATAGACTGGAAGCAGTCCCCTTTTTTAAAAAATATTATAACGCATTTACATTCAAAATAAAGAAATAAAGAACCTTTCTTTTTGACTTTTTTACAATAAGAATTCGATAAAATTTGGGAGTCGGGTCTTGAAACACGAGGAAGAGAATGAAAACTTACATCAACAATTACTAATAAAAAAACGTGACACTTGAGTGACGAAGAATGCACCAGATCGACGTGTTTGACTGCTTAATGAACCGTAAACTTTGCAAATGAACGTTAACTTTAGTGCAATTAGAGTTCTAGCCAGCTACTGTATAAACATACAAACGAATCGTTGTTTTATTTTTAGCAATTGTATAAACCTAAAATTTATCGGGTTCAGCGTTCACCGTACATAATGACGACGTGCAATACTTAATTAATATGCGAAGTACTACAAAATATTCTGTGATATTTCGCAGTAACGTATAATATTGTCCTTCGAAACTATAAATTATGAGTGATGTCGAATGAAATATAGTGAGAAGCGTAACCACAACGTTACGAATCGATAACTAGCCATAGTGAAATGATTACATTATTTGCAGCTGGTACGTTACGGAAGTTCGACTCATTTGTCATACAATAGCGACAAACACAGACGGCGCTTTCGTCACCGATCACAGCGCTATATTCTCTTCGTGGCCAATTTAGGAACCAATATCTTCCGGCGAAATTTTTTATCCTGTACCATAATAGGGTGCGGGATAAACCAACCTTTCTGACCTCACTAAACTTATAATTTTTAAACCCAATTTTAAATTACTGTATTTTATTATAAATGTTCCATTTTACTTTATTAATACGAAATTCGTTTGTTTAATTACAACAAGTTTTTTTTTTAAATTATTTAATCCTAGATTCAAAATTTGTATCGATTAAATACTAGAAAACAATGAAACCGCGCCAGTTAATAATAGTTAGTTATTTTACCACCAGAGTGCGCGCCACTCGCCTTCAGTCGCATGTACTGTACTTTCATACCACGTGACACATACTGTACAATAAGTCAATATTTGTTAATTTATGGAAGTAATAAAAAAAATAAATTGTTTAAATATATAATAATAATAAATGAATATATTTATTTCGATAACTTTAACACTTAAAGAAGACTTGGATACGACATAATTTACGTAGATTATTAGAGTTATGTAACGTATTTTACTGCATTATATAAACACAAAGAATGTGTTTTGCATTGTCACGTTTAATATCTACGTAATTCAATATAATAAATTTATTGTTGACATTCAACTAACAGATAAAATAACAAGCCAAAAGAAATTGACAATGAAAGGGATGATCGTAAGGAAACAAACAATTTATTTTTACTTTCCCTGATGTTATATATTGATATAACAGGGGGGAAGTATGGCGGGGATGGATATAACAGGGGGGAAGTATGGCGGGGATGGATATAACAGGGGGGAAGTACGTTTCAAGCCCCCGAGTCCAAAAGAGTGGGGTCAAAAATGACCCCACTCTTTTGGACTCGGGGGCTTGAAACGTAGAGAAATGCAAAGAAAAAACATTCGTCTACATACATTAAAGACACATACATTATTTTAATTAAATGCGATTTAAAGATAAATGGTTACAATTGTTACCCTTGTCTGGCTTCAAACATATCAGTTATTTTAATAAAATATATATATTTTTTTCTATCTCCTTGTCGACATTCCTTACATTTTCAGTATTTTGGGGTTGTTATAAATGCTTTCCCTGTTGTTTTAATAGTTTAAAATGCTGTTGCCGCTTGTTATTATTCAGGCCTTTTACATTTGTTACACATTTCAAACGAGAAAATGAGCATAAGAATAATAATCACATGAAGATTTGAGATTGAAAAAGTTAATAATACGTCACGAAAATAAAATCAAACTTAAATTTTAATTTAAAAAAAATAATAATAAAACATTGTTAATCAAAATAACAATAACATAATGGCGCCTCTAGCGACAAACTCGAAAAACTTAATGGATAATATTATATCCATGTAAGTTTTTTGAGTTTGTCGCCAGAGGCGCCTTTACAATAAATTAAAATTGTATAAAATTATTTTATCAGTTTACTGCTATGATATTCGGTTTCTTCGAATGTCCTACTAATGATTACCATTAAAATTTTATTTAATTTTGGTGTCTGCCCGGTCTAATTTTCCATTCAAATTAGTCTATCCGACGGAATATCTAATTAGATCCCAATGGTACGATACATTTTTGTGGGTGTTCCGAAGATTTTATCGAGGTCGTCGATCTTTCCTCATTGCACGTGGGTGAACCAAGTACACAACTTTAATTAATAATTTATTCAGATTTATTTTTTTTCTGTAAATTGTAAAATGGATCGAAGAAATTTATTTGCAGTTGCGTTTTCTGTGGAATATCAAATACAACTGGTTACAGCTATTTAAATAACTGCAGTACTTCGATCGTTCTTACCTTATACGGGCCTACCTGGAATATTTGAGCATCGATCCCAGCTTGATTGATTGTAAAATCACTTTCGAATACAATAAACAACGTATCAAACAATTCGATTTACAAACTATATAAAAGGGGACACAAGCAATAAGAAAGGGCATCGAGAAGCTTAAACGATAATTCAAATTCGGATCAACGTTCCCACAAGGTAGCACACTAGTTGCAATCGGTGCTAACTTGAAAACAATTAATATTCCTTGTTTTCGAGGCCTTGGTCAACATAAGAAATTAAATGGGACAATGGACAAATAGGTTTCATTGCTTTTATATTTGCGAAATAGGCTAGAAGTTACGAATTTTCAAATGTTTCTTGATAATGGAATTAAGGGCCCTTTTCTGGATTAGGAAAAGAGCGATCCAGACAAAAAGGTGGGTACGTGCCCAAACGGCAGGATGGACGAGCAGTTGAGGCAGAAGCCTATTGCTCTGAGAGACCTGGGAACCAATCCAGATCGATCGAAAACCCCAGGTATTTTTCGGGGGTGGTAATTGATGTCGGATTCCGCCCATTACAACACGGCTGCTCCTTTGTGGGCCTGGTCGTTCCCATAATAGGCTTGCTAAAAAAAAGAGGCCCTCTTAGTGCCCACAGAACGAAAAATTTTAAAAATTGATCCATACATTTATCCTCTTCTAGCTGTAGTTCTCGATTAAAATTAGAGTTTTTGTTAACGCACTACCAACGGAGAGCGGGGGGATAGTGGCATGTATGACGTGAGAAAAAAAACACTGATGACATTTGGTTACAATTGTGCCTCAAATTTTCGTGAAAACTTTATGAACGTAATAATCAACCAACTAATCAATTGATATTTGTAACAATGATGAATAGTTGATGCGCGTGAGGGTGGTGTCAACGTGAACAGAACATTAAAATATTTTGGGGGTTCGTAAACTGAATTTTACGAGCCCCGAAATCTTCTAGACGAAACTGAACACAACGAAATATATTTTTGGTATTATTTGCAATTCCTAACCTTCTCTGAAATGGGTATATTCAAAGATTTTGTGATCGCCTTCGTGGACCACTCGCTGCCAGTATGCAAAACTTTCACGAGACAGAATACATTTTGTCAGAATTATGTGTAACACCATGTTCTTATCCTAGGCCAAATTTTCCCTCATTGTTCCAGATCGGAATAACAGTTACACTTGCACTCGCAGGTGGCCGAATCTGGCATCTAATCATAAGTGCTTGATTGGCGAGAAATCCGGAGACCACGAAGGCCGATGAAGTGTAGCAACGAAAGGGAAACCCTAGTTGTGTGAGGCCGAGCATTATCTTTCTGGAAAATGGCTGTTGTAGTCCAATCATGAAGTACAATACACGTGGATTTCCTGAATGCGCCGCTGTTCGCTAATGTCTCTAGCACAAGTATTAGGGGTGAACGGTTGGAGAATGAGATGGCACCCCAGAACAGCACTACAGTAATGGAGAGAGTGTGACATTCAACAGTAAAGGTAGAATTGAAGTGGTCACTAATGTATTTTCACACAATAACAAAATGGTTGCTCGTTCCGGGTTTCGTCTATAAAGGCGATACGCTGCCAGTCTGTAATAATCTATGTTTCTCTGACCCAGAACCACTGCAAAGGAAGCTTGCGATGTTGGCCGCATATAACAGTCCCCATGCATGCAAATTTGCCTCTGTCAGTCACCTGTCAATGGCACGGTAAGGGGTTCTGTAGCGAGTCTTTTATCTGTCTCAGAATCGTGGACAAAGACATCGTTGCAACTGTTAGTGCTTGTCTTACGATTGGATGATCGTAGCTCCTGTTGATCCAGAAGCTTGCCCGCCATGTATGTGTGCCCCGACGTCACCACACCCCTCAAAATATGGTCAGAACGGCATACATTGTAGGGAATTTAGTGAAATGACCATTTTGCTACCCTCTGTTTAATATACGCGGTTTTTCTCAAATTTCGTCAGCTAAGAGTAATCCTAACTGTGCCTTTTAAGGCATTCTAAAGGCATTACCAGGAATATAATCTGACTGCACAGTAATCATTTACATAGTCTGATTTAGCAGTAATTGGGCATTTCTATTATAGTGCGCAATTTTTTGTCAATGAATATGTAATTTTACATTCTCACGGCTTCGTTACAGCATTGTTTGTGTAACAAAGCTGTTTCACATTGCATTCTTTGATGATTTGATAAATTGAAAAGCAAGATGTTTCTACTATTTACGTATGCAAATCCACACGAATTTTATATCTCAAAACATTATTTTTGATTTAAAGACTCGGTTAACTGTCAAATCCACAAAATACGCGTGATAATACTCAATCCAATATCCAATTCAATGTAGCATCAAATTAGAGAAGAGATTAGGATAAGTGTAGTTAGTGTTGAATATCACGAGGACATTGCACGCGATAGCACGCCATTATCATAACATTGTCAGTTTCTATGTGCAAAGCATGTTTTCCACTAGACACAACGTGTAGTACTTTTTCAAAAATCGCATCTTACCCTTTTTTTTCTGAATCGCAGTGAAATTTAGTCGAATATTGACTTAAAAATAAGGATTTTAATTCGTTTTTCCGACTCCACTCGAGATACGACACGTGACCATCCCTATCTCCCCACCCCTCGATCTATAACCACCAAAATTTAACAGCAGCAGTGTCCGTTATATACAAGTTACCGTGCCAAATTTCGTTTATTAATCATTACAGCAACCTGAGATATTCAACAAAACACGCACACATAGCTCAGGTATCAGATTTTTCACTTTGTTTGGGTTCTGAGGGTCCCAAAACTTGGATAGTCCAAAAATCCAGAAAGACAAATGTAACAGGAGTACAATAGTACATTTAAACAACATGAAAATTAACCAGTGTTATGTTATAACAGCTAGGAAAATAAAAATTTTAAACGATTCCCGTGTTATAACAGCGAGGAAGTAACACTAGAAATTTATTTATTAAGTAATAAAATGATTACGACTAATCTCAACGGAAAGAAATTAGAAATCAGATGAATGGTCTCACCTTCTTCCCAGTCGACTAGACGAATTAAACAATTAGGAACGGGGGGACCGACGGATCCAGGGACGATGAACCGATCTAGACACGGAGTTGGTCCATTAGAAAAACCAAATATAACGAGAATGTGGTCATCAAAGATACTCACAGTCCATTCCAGTGGAGGAAGAGGCCGTCTCCGTCATTCCGTAACCTTGTATTAGCGTGAGCCCCAGACAGTCGCTAATGAATAGATGTGTGTCCGTACTTAGAGGGGCGGATCCGCTGATGATCAGCCGAAGTCTTCCACCCACTGACTGACGGATCTTACGAAATATTATTCTGAAAAATTGGTCAGAAACGTATTTTCTATTGTAAAAAAACACGTTATTTATATACACAAGTTAGATTAAGTAAAGGGTTCTTCTATACCGTTCGAATTATCCATACCAAATTTGGCACGTATATTATTCGATACCCTAGAAAAAATACTGTCCCCCCTAACCAATCCAAAAGTCCACCCCTCTTAACTTTAGCTCAGAAATATGCAGTTTCATTATTGTAAATACACGGGTCAATAAATGTACGTCCACCACCCTCTCAAAACTCTTAGCAACACCGGGCACACGTAGATACTTGTTATATAAACTCTTTCTTATGCAAATAACTGGAATAAATGCTTCCAACATAATTGATCATCTGTCCTTTTTACGTCGGATTAATAAAGGAAAGGCAAACGAACTAGTCAGTCGTATCGATTAAGGAACGTATAATAGGGAACTAATTACATTTACACGTGGAGATGGCAAAATGTAAATAGTTATATGGGATTTAACATGAAAAGTTGAAGATTCTCTCTTATAATTCCAAATTGTCACGAAGAATTAATTGTTTATTCAATTGTTTTTAAGTGTAATTAACGTTATAACACGTTACTCCTACTTTGTGACTAAATTTTATCGTGTTTATTAGTCTACAATGGTCCAAAATTATGGTAAACTTTAGATCACTGTGAAGATTGTGAAGAAAGTAATGAGGAAATGTGAGATCATCTAAGAATATGGAATATTTAGTCTAAGTATTCTGATTAATTCACTTATATATATAGTGGTGTTATGTCTTCTACACGTTCTGTACTTATGTTTGCGTATTATAAATTGGAATTATAAGAATTAAATATATATATATATATACCGGTTAAGGATTGGGGTATCGAAACCATGTGCCAGCCAGAAGCGTTTATAGTCGACGGCGAAGCGAAACAACTGGGTAGAAAACTGGCCCTTAGATTCGACAGTCTGCCAGATGTTCTTACGGATGCGGTCGAGCATCAGCTAAGTAAAAAGAATGAAGAGTAAGAAGAGTTGGAATGAAAGAGGATTACAAAAAAACACAAAAGATACCTACCGGAACACCACACATGACGGTGGGCCTCAGCAACGTGGCATCTCCCTTGCATCCTGCCGCCAGACCGGAAGACTGTAAGAATCGCAATCAACATTCAGACAAACGAACGTTCGCGAACACTCACTTACCTGGTCTGTTAAAGTGAAGGGCGACGAGTAACCTATAGGAATACCTTGCACCAAACATATCAGCTCTGAAAAGAGGTCAAAGGTGATACAATGAAGCTTTCTCTGCCATTGAAATTCGGAAGAAAAAGCCTGTTTACCTGAGGAAAATTCGAAAATGTGGGCCAATGGAAGATAGGCGATGTACACTTCGTCCGGATTTGATCTGTCGAGAACAAAACGAAAATTAATACGAATTTTTATGAATTATTCAACAGTAAATGTAACTCGGAGAAAAGGGAGGGAAGATAAGAAGAAGAATTCAACCTCATCCGTACGCTCGAAGTATTGTTTACATGATAGATAGGTAGAAGAAACAGTAGTGTTATACAAAGATAGAAAAAACATAAAGAGCCTTCACGAAATGAAGGCAAGACTCGCGACTATTCTGGTATTCAGATACAGTAAAACCTGTGTAAACCGGACTCGCACGGTATTCAATATTCTTTCCGCTTAATCAGGTTTGCGTTTTATGAAGGTTCCGTTTTGAACAGGTTTTACTGTAACCTTTTACTTTCCATCTTCGTACTCCGAGCGTAGGTACGAAAAGTTGGGATTTTCTTATTTATAAAAGACACCATTTTCAGGAAATACTTAACAGAACAGGTTCTAGTAAAAGCTGGAAGGCTCGTGTAGTAGCCATGGCATTACGGTGACTGATAACGACACCTAAAAAAATAAATAATTTTCAGCATCACTTATAAGATAATTCATAAAGTTTATTGTATCACTAAAAAATAACCAAATTATCAGTGGAAAAATTTCAAAAATTACGATGTTTCGCACGTTTTCGTGTTGAAAAATGTAAAATCCTATCAGTCAACCCCCCTATAACACTGTTGATTTTTCTGTTTTATATGAATTCCATGTTGTATGAGTCACTTAAATTTTACAAATACATGAGCCGTTTACAACCCGGCACACGTATTTGTAAAATCTAAGTGACTCGTACAACATGGAATTCATATAAAACGGAAAAATCAACAGTGTTATAGGAGGGGGTCGACTGTATCAAGTGTATTATTTACAAACGGGGAAAAAGTTATATTGTAAAGGATAGTTTACGGAATTATTTATAAAACTATTGTTTCATAGTAATACCTAAATAGGTGTCAGCATCCCTCCTCCCAAGTGTCACCTTGCCGTATACAAATATATATTTAAAAAAAAACAATTCAAAACTCGTATAGAGATTTATGTATAAAAATCCAAGATAAATGAAAGATAATAATCCCTATTGTTCTTTCTGTCTACTATTTACAGAACAATGCAAGAGTATATTACATGTATATCCTCAATCATTGTAGACAATAAATCTTAACATAGAAAACACGATAAATTTAACGAATACGTTTTCAATTTTGTATCTCCTCAATTGGTTTATACATAGAATAGAGCTTTTGCAAACAAATGAATCATAAACACTTAAACTGCCATGATACGTGTATAAAAATGGCTGCCCATTCGTTTCGATTCAGTCTCTCGTAAAATAGCTAATTATTAAGTAATGCATCGGATAGAATAAAGAATCGTAAAGGACAAAACACGTGTAATAGGATAATACACCGCTCCAGTGGATTTGTGTGTACACACGTACGAACTTTGAAGGGAATCAATGGCCGAGAGGAAACCTTTCGACGTCCTCGCGTGCATTGGTACGAGCTCGCGCGCTTCGATCGCACCAACGCACGCAAAACTAATAAAACTTTCAAGGTAACAGGTACAAAACTAATGTAAATTTAACTGGAAAAACTCTCGTCGATCATTTTATACTAAGTACAGTACGCCACCCTTACAGTGTTTTCTGCTATTTTAAATTACTGTAATTAAGTAAATAGTATTTTTAAAGTTTGTGACGTACATAAATCGATAGAGTAACTTGTGTTTCATCTCGCACCTGCATCCAAACGCTTTCTAGGAAGCGCCGCAAATAAAAATGGCGACTCCGCAACAAGAAACCGTTCTGTGTTCTTCAGTTTGCAAAGTCGGAACCATTCATCATTGTGTAACATGAGTAATTTGCAGGAGAATTGTGGCTGTGCAACACGAGTAAATTGCAGGAGAATGGTGAAAAGAATGACAACGAATATGCCATAATATATATTTCAAAGTTTACAGATAACAATTAACGTAATTACAATAATTAAAATGGTATCATTCTGTCTGCATAACTCTGTATGTGACATTTTCACAAGTGTTCGCGTATTGACGAAACACATAAGATTATTGAAATATGGACATTTCGTCCATTTTAATACGCTAGAAATGCGAAAAACAAGAGACAAATGCAAAAACACAGAACAAGAGACTAAACAATTCTTGCTATTGTCATTCACTTACCTTTTGGAACTCCAGTCGATCCGCTGGTGTACATCAAAATAGCCAAATCATCGGGTGTCGGACTCTCGTAAGGAGGATCTAAAAGAAAAACTTTCACTTAATTTTTTCCCAAGAAGTGATTATCCAATAGAAAATCTAAAATTAGTATATGAGGTACACAAATTGTCTGAAAATAATTATACAGTAGTGTATTATCCTACGGGAAAAAAAATGGCAATTGTTTGAAGCCACCAGTAACAGGGGAACACCAAACCAATCTTTCATAAACTCATTACTGCAGTAAGAATATTAAAATTTAAAAATTTGGTGCCATATCTGAAGACTCCGCAAAGGCGCGGGGTCTTCAGATATTGTACCAAATTTATACCAATAATAATAAATAAGTGAATTATTATTATTATTTTATGTGTTTATTGTGTTATTAAGCTGCAGTTTTCAAATTACTAATCAATTAATCATTATTATTACGTATAAAATTTATTACCGATAATTGGAATGATTTTTCATAATGAAATACAATACTTATTTGAGATAAATATTTGTTAAATTATTGAAATAGCCTATTTCTTACGTTTAATACAAAAATAATGTTGAAATCACTTGAAATTTTTTTTATATATATATTTAAGTGTGAAATCCTCAAACAATTTTTAAAAATTTTATTAATTATTCGCTCTGTTTTTCGCTTTCGCCAGCGAATCGCGCTCAGTGTGAACTAAGCTTAACACCCATAATATAGAAAACCCATACATATAGAAAAATACCCCAACTTTTTTTTTGCATTTCTCGATATTTAAGAGTGTTCTGAGTCCAAAAATATAAAAATCTTCAGAGGGTTACTTTCTGACAGATCGCCATACTTTCCTTCTGTTATACTCGTATAACGGCCGGGAAGTAATAAAGTATTTATTAGTATTTAGGTAGTTATATAGAAGAAAATCGAGACCAGATATAGGAAGAATCCTGAGAACAGGAGTTAGACAGAAAAAAATCGAGACCAGATATGGAAAAATTCCTGAGAACAGGAGCTAGACAGAAAGAAATCGAGACCAAATATGGAAAAAACCTCTAGAATGGGGTTAGATAGAAAGAAATCGAGACCAGATATGGAAAAAAACTCTAGAATGGGGTTAGATAGAAAGAAATCGAAACCAGATATGGAAAAAATCCTGAGAACAGGAGCTAGACAGAAAGAAGTCGAGACCATATATGGAAAAAATCTCCAGAACAAACTAGATAAAAATCTGGACCAGGTATGGTCTCGAATATCAGCTCGACTTTACCTCCATGTAACATCAGATTTACAATTTAACGATCTATAAATGAAAAATATAACTCCATTTACAAAAATATTTATTCTACATCACAATATTACACATGACAATTAGGTTTGTTACTTGTTCTTCTACAATTAACGAACTTAATCGTAGGCCATATTTCAGATTTAGTCGAATTCCCGACACCTGATACTATACTGTATGTGAACAATCATTATTTAGCCTACACATAAAAATTCTTCCATTTGTTATTCTTTTCTCGATTGTTTTTAAAAAATATTATATAAAAATTATTTGGCATTTTATGTGAACCATAACAAAAGTACTGTACTTAAACACAAAGATCAAAAACTTTGTATTTATAAACAGCCAATTGCATAAATATAATTTATGATGTAGTTTATTACGTCAGTGATAGATTGACAGACAAATCTGTCGTAGAAAATCATTAATGGGCACAGTTGACTGTAAGAAAAATGAGAAAGTCCCATTGTAAAGGGAAGCCTTACTTTACAATGAAGTTCATCTGTGTGACGTAGTTGTTTAAACACAACTCTAGTAAACCTGTATAAGTAGGAATCGCCGTTTTAGACAGGTTTTACTGTACGTGTAAGAGAAATAACTGTACTGTACACTTCAGAATGTAAACAATTGATAAAATGGCGAACGTGTTACTACATACTTTCGCTATTTTACGCTCACGGATGTATATTAATTGCATTGCTATTGTAATTTTAACAGAAAAGACAGGCGAGCGTAACACTCCTCGACCTGTTAACTTGCATACGCGTAACATGGGTTACGCGGATTTCGTGTATGACGGACGTTTTTCTTATTCTGGGACGAGGAACCTTTTAAAGATGGTCGCCAGAGTGTGGATGGAATCTACCACTTCCTTCCTCCTCTTTCCCTGTTACGACTGACGTCCTTCAACGAAGACAATACAGAACCAAAGTTTATTTAAAGTAAAGGTGAGTAAACACTGCAAACAATCTAGTCGAATGCATTCTTTTAATCGCAAAATAAATTCCGGAATAAAATATACTTTATTTTATTTTCCCTTAAGAAAATATGCCATTGTGGAGAATTTAAAAGTTAAAGTAAACCTGTCTAAAACGGAAAACGGAGCAATATTTTCTTGTGTTGAAAACACCTGTCGTAAACGGAAACATTCCAAACCGGAGAAAATATTCGGTTTCGTGTGAGTCCTGTTTACACAGGTTTTAGTGTATGTTAGTATAATTAACCTATTTATTTGCTGTTTAAATAAGTAAAGTAAATTGAAATTTTCGATGATCTGTAAGCTTTAGAGAACAATTAACTTACCCGGATCCATGTCGTCCATCAAATTCTTCATGTCGGACAAGGTCATGACTCGAACGGACTCCGGAAATCCGCTTTCGTCAGCTCTTTCCGAAGATTCCATGTAGATCACGTGTTTCAAAAGAGGAAGTCGACCGGCGATTTTCTGCAAAGATTTTCCTCGTATTACTCATTTGTCCTCCTCGATTTAAATTCGCCCCCCCCCCGAAAAAGAGCGGAATAAAACGGAAAATCGGATGAAACAATACATAAGCGTATCCGTCACACGTCACGCTAACTCGTTTGTCACACCTGTGACGTTAAAAGAGTTACCGATCGATTGGGGATTTTCCAAAAATCGACCTTATTCAATTTCATTTTCGATATACACTACTTTGCATCTTTCTTCACTTTGTTTACATTGAATAAATACGAATTTTGTCACTTAAAAATGTCAAGAAATTTAAAGTAATACGCTTAATAATACGTAACTTATATGTACAGTATTATTATTATTATTATTAACAACTGCATGTACAGGTACAGATCGACCATAATTAATGCAACAATCAGTAATCAGGTTCCATCACTAACTGGCAAATCGGTAATCCGGCTACAGATCCCAATGATGCCGGATTAGTGATGGTCAACCTGTATTTGTTTTTTTTATTATTTTTTTACTCTTTTGCCCTGTGGGCACCAAGATGGTGTTTATATCATACCCATTATGGATTCTAGTGGTGAGGGAGCGACATATCGGAGTAATTTATTTAGTAGCCGAGTGACCGAGTGATTAAAACCACTGATCACTGGTAATTGGTCGTGTGTTCGTGTCTGTCCAACGAGCTGCCAAGTGGAGTTTTTTGGGGTTTTCTTCACGTTTGTAACACCTAAATAGGGACCAGTTTCTATAGAAAGATCTCCCGGGAGATTGATCATGTCTCGCGTGCATTTAATAAAACACACTTATATAACCTCAGGGCCATTTTGGTACCCGGGGCAAATACCCCTCTGGCCCCCTTAGTTACGCCTGTGCATGTAGCTACATAACGTGTTACGTTAGTGTATTTTTCTTTTGTTGTATGCTTGGTTGTATTATTACTTTTTCCTGTGTACATGGTTGGAGGAAATTTTATGACCTTAAACGGTGTTCCACGCCATTCAGTAATCCACGCAATCAAAGTGCAATACTTCTTTAATAATACTATTGCAAGAGTCGACAATAAGAATTTTATTGTGACTAGCACTTTGTTCGCGAGGGAAATTAAATTTTGCAGGGAGGTTTATGCATTAGGGGATTGGTGCTATTAAATATTGATGGTTAAAGGTCAAGCGGGCTGAGAGAAAGAGGGAAGAATCTCTCAGACTCCTATGAAAGACAATTAGAAAGTAAACACTTACCCTTAGCTTAGGTAGTTGAGATTGAGAAGTGACGACGACGTTGACGTCGGACTCGTTTATTCCCAAGACTAATCCATCGTCTCCCAGATTCGGGTATAGAGTAACCACTACAAAAGTAGTGAAGAGAAATCATCAATCATCCCAAAACGTCACTTACAAAATATAAACTCACCTCCCACGTTGATTCTGAAGCAGGCCAGAGCCGTCAGCAGCCATTCTAGTCTGGTCTCCGCGAAGATAGCGATTTTGTCGCGCGATTTCAGTCCGAGAAACAAAAATCCACGAGCGTAACTCCATACCGTATTGTTAGCTTCGTCCAGATTCGTCCAACGATACTGACCCAGCATCAACTAGAAAAAGGGACATAAAAATTAATACGTAAGAAGTTTGGAGATAAAAAAAGAACAAAATTTCGAAACATTTTGCTTAACATTTTCATTGTAGACCTAAAGAAAGACAAAGAACCTATAAAATTCTTTCAACACTACACTACTCTTGCACTACTGAAGAAGCGCAGCCATTTTTTGGTCCATTGTTTTATGTTCTCGCGTGTCAACAATGTTGCCAGTCGCATATATCGTTGCTTCTGACTTGGAAGTATTGTATATCAAAATGGCTACGCCATTGCTCATCCTCCCGATTTGTAATGGCACTTTTCTGGTTTTCTATTGAAAATGCCTTGTAAATTTTCGTTTAAATTATTGTATGATTAGAGACGGACGTCAATCCTCAACTAGAAACTCAACTGTCTGCAAGTAGAAACATTTGGACCACAGATTTATCAGGTTGCAAAGGCCACCATCTCATCTGCAAGGCATTTGGCGTGGTCCACCAGTGGCCGAGTTCGTAAAACCACTGAACACTACTACTACGTGGTGTGTTTGCTCCTCTCCAACGTGGTGTTTTCCGGGTGTTCTTCACGTTAGTAACAACCTAAATATGGGCCAGTTTCCCATAAAATGCTCTCCTACAAAACGTTCGTATACAGTGGTCCACACCCGATGATGGCCTATTGAAATAGGGTCGAAAACTTTTGTATTTACGTAAATAAACAAACCACAGCAAGAACAAGTAATTTACTAAAGTCGATTTTCGTAATTTCAATAAGCTTTTACATCACTCGAACCGGTTCAAACTAGTGTTTTTTTTTGTCACGAGAAAGCGTCACGCAATGTCCTTCCCAGGCAGCGGCTACCGCTCCTACACGTACACTTTGTTTACGCATCTTTCAAGGGAACAGGAAAGTGGACTAGCAGCTTTTTTTTGACTCTCTCCGCCTATGGACAACAATGGCGACGGAACAAAGGCCAAATTAGAATGGAGGTTTAGAGGTTACGTCCGTACGAAACGGAAGAGAATGGATAATACTTCCACGTATCTCTCAGAGGTCAAATGATTCGAATTCCTCCGTCTGATAGGAAGATTAAACCCCTTTGTAACTCGTTATAAAGGTTTGCACCCCGAGAATTTTACGTTACAGTTTACGAAGTGTGTGTGTGTTTGTGTTTGTGTTAAACTTCCTCGTCCGTTTTAAATAACTGGACCTGTTCTAGTTAGAGTAACGAAAGGGGGAGGAGAAGTGACGTTTGTACGAAACGTCAAGCGTACTCCGTGCCAAATTTTCTTCGCCTAAATATATCGTAAGTTATAAAGTGAAATTTTAAGCATCTTTTGTCTTTTTCATTATTAAAATAGCGATTTAAATAATTCGCATCGGCAGAGGAGAGAAAGGGATAAGTTGTGTGTAAAATTAGACAGTTCTTAGAGTATTTTATAACAATTTATTAGGAAATTTTACTTCCCTGGGTGTTAAATATAACAGAGGAAAGTATATAGCGATCGAGAAACCTTGAAACATTCAGAAATGCAAACATTTTGAGGGGGGGTTTCTTCTGTTTGTATGGATGTTTTTAGTGTGTGTGTGGGGGGGGGTGGTCACTCCTTATTTAGCAGGGAAGTTTGCGTGTTGGGGCAACGATGCTGTTAAATTTCAGAGGTTAAAGGTCAAGGGGGGATGAAAGGATAGAATCACGTCACATCTCCAGGCGCCACACACAATTTTAACTATTTTTACTGGGAAGGTTACGTAACTCATTGATGGATTAATTTATGTCATTTTGTTTTCAAATTAAGGAATTTGATCGTTTATAAAACTCGACGACCTGTTTCCTCTCCAATATTAATAACTCTATTTACATATTTAATATCGTAGTTTATATATTATTATACTTTAAACTAGACAAAACAATGGAAAATTTTGGAAGTGTTTCCCTCCTCCCCCCCTTCTCGGTAGCTTAATTCGTGAGTTAATTCGGTTTCCGCTCCGGAAGCGGAAGTAACGTTTAACGAAACTTCCGGGCGACGGAATTATTTATAAGTCGTCTCGATAAATAGGAATTTAGAACCAAAATTTTTAGATTTGTGGAGCGCAAGTTAAGGTTCAAAGTTGAATAGGGTCAATCTAAATTAATTATGACGAAATAGGGTTTCTGGAAAGGTTATTAGAGCTTTGAAATTTCGTAATTGACCGAATTCGATCGCATTTTAATTAATAAATTAGAAGTCGGTCGCGATAGTTTTTTACTTTCCCAGGTGTTGTATATAACAGAGGGAGAAGAATATGGCAAATTGGTCGAAAAATAACTACCCAGATTATTAATTTTTGAATTCAGAAGACATTGAGAAATGAAAATAAAGGGAAAAGTTGGGGGTTTCGGTGTTAGCATGTGGGGGAGACAACGATTTTGTTTGACTACTTTAAAGCTTAATAACTCCTGTGTTTTTTGTCGAAAATTTCTGAAATTTTCTATAGATGTTTGTGTATTAGAAGTAAATATTTGTAGAAATTTTCAGGAAAATCGAACGGTCGGTTCGGGAGATATCTCGAAAAGTTAATACCACTATTTTAGCATTAATTTAATATAAATAAGTTTTATCCGACGAACAATTTCCTTTTAGCTATTTACGATTCAGGAAAGATAGAGTATAGAAGGTAAATAATTCGGTCAACATATCAACAGATATAAAAATAGAAGAGGAATTACAACACATTTTATAGCGCACCCTTCTTCCAAATCGTTTCCATCAAATACAACCGACAAAAGGGTTGAAAAATTGGATTAAGCCAGGGAAAGTTAGACAAGAAACACCACCCCTGACAGTCGAGTGGATAAAACTACCTTAACGGGCTGGCCACGTGGTTTTCCAGGTTTTCTTTTACGTTATTAGCCAGGTTTCGGCCGACGTTTTCATCTCTAAAACGTGAACTTCGAACGTCAACGCCGCTATCTTGTAAGCGTCGCTCGACGTTCGACGTTCACGTTTTAGAGACGAAAACGTCGGCCGAAATCTCGCTATTAATACCTAAATATGGGCCATTTTCTCACTGAAAGATTATTCCCTATACAAAAACAAAAACTCCACACGACAGTAAACTGTGTATTGTGGTCTCATCTTCAGAAAGTTTTGTGTATTGTAGGGTTCACTGTATAAAGTTTAGCGTACGTTTCTACACATTTGCATTTGTATCCTTCGTCCACGACCCACGTTAAATTAATTTAAAACGTCTTCCAGCGACACACATCTATTTATAAATCCGCTAAGAAGAGGGATCCGTATTAAAAAAAAAACAAATTACGATGTCTTCTCCCATAGGAGAAGCCGACTTTCCTGGGTGTATTTTTATCGCTGCCTCAGTAAAAAAAAAAGAAGAGATTCCTGTTCCGCGTCCAAAATACTCGTTTGGACCGAGTTCGGTCCGTAAATAGAGCTACGAGTTCGAATACCTTCTTTGTGTTACTCCTCCGTGTTTAAAACAAATGCCGCCGTTCTTCTGTGTCGCAAATTTCTCGAAATTAAATCCCCCCTTTCTTTTACTATAATTTTAAATAATAAAAATCACCATACTTTTCCTTTATATAGGTACTTTGTGTAATTAATCAATCGTTATTATCATTCATTCCAAACTATTTCGATTAAATCAGAATAACGAAAAGGACATACGAATTCCTTCAACGATTCGATTGAAGATAAAAGAATAAATAATTCCACAAGTAATTAAGTTCAAATGTTTTCTGGCGTCGTTCTTTAATCGGTCTTTCGACAATCGTTTTGCTATTTGTGTTACCGGAACACGTACGAATTTTTGCGCTCGATAACAAACCAACCAATTCCGGTTTAGAGGAGGGTGAGTTTTTAACGAATAATTAATATTTGGGGGGGGGGAGAAATTCTCTGGTTTAAATCTTCGAGGATTCCTCTATCTCGTGTGGACACCCCTCTTCTTTTTTTTGACGGTAATAAATAAATAATACACTCGAAAATACCTTATTGTTATCGATCATTTTAGAGAGGTAGGGGGGGTCCTTCGTCTGCAGTCGAGTGCGTAAATATTCGGAGATCGTCTTACGTCATCGAAGGACGACGTGACGACGCAATTATACAATACATTGATATCAATAGGTGTTGTATTTATTGTTATATTTACATATATTATCAAATAAGTGTTAGGCATGGTTGTGTAATTTGAATAAATTTCCTGGAAGGATTCGACGTATAGGAAAAAGGCCAAGGTCGAATCGAACAACAATAATTTGTTTTTTTTTTTTTTCCTACTGTACTTCTGGAACCAGTACCTCGTTCAACACCTTTCTGGCATTAGGGTGGACTTTTTTAATTTAAGTAATCGCGTGACTTCCGGTCCAGATAATTAATCTCACACTTTTCCGTTTAAGCTTTCTATATCCGGTCTCGATTTTTGTCTATCTAATTCCGTTCTCGAGATTAAGGAAGGAAGGACAGACGGACAGACTCACGATAATGGGAATCTATCAGTGACATTTGATGAAAGGGAAGTTGTGTTTCTGTAAGAAGCCGACTTATAGGGGCAATCGGTTAATTGCTCGTCAGCGATGGTTTAGTGTTCGTGCCACAGTAATCTATAGGTGTTCAATTGGTGTTCAGCCCAGCTAGTGTTGCTGCTTTAAATGTTCTTCTCATTTAACAAAAAGTATAGAGCATTTTGTTTCCATCCGATGAGGGGAACAATACTCGTTCTGTAGTAATCGAACCCGAGCTCTTATGCAAAAGTACAAAATCCAGAAAAATACCTATAGAAAGGTGAAGTATTATTATTACTTCCGTACGTGATTTTTGCGCCGAATATATTGTTTATCAAACTAAAAAGGATCGAAATGGCACGCGAAGTATTCTGACCTGGTGTAATTAAACCGCATAGAAACGACACCGTAACACAATTCCGCGGTAATAAATAAATTCTGGAAGCCATTAAGAAAAATTACGTCCTCATCCGAAAATATGGACCTCTCGCATCACGTTTTGACGAATTTTTCGGTCGACGACCTCGTTCTAGCGCGTGCGAAAATCTCCGTGCTCCAGAACACGTTTAATTCCCCCGAAAGATGAAAGAGAAAAGTTGCTTACTTTGGTGAAGGTCTTTCCGTCTTTCTGAATCTCTTCCACGGTCCGAACCACGTCTCGGACTCCGAACAGGTTCTTCTCTCGATAGCATCCGACCCCATAGCGAAAGAGTCGATCTAGGGTTCCGACGTCGGGAGGAATGGGTGAGGACTGCTGATCCACCAGAACGTATGGACTGTAAGGATCGTTCGGATCCAACCTCTTGGTCTGAAAAATAGGGTACGAACAAACGTCAGAGAAGTCGAAAATTCCATCGTTTACGAAACTGAAGAGCCGTTACGTGAGGAGCGGGACCTTTCTGACACGCGTGGTTTAAACGGGGGGCCTCGGAAAAACTTGTCAGTGGGGCCCCAAGATATTTACCAAAGAGAATTTTTCTAATTAAATTCAAAAAATTGAAAGTTCGAGGCCCCACTGAGGATGTGAGGCCTCGTTAGGAGGCCCGAAAAACAACCTACTTCCGTGTCGGGCATGGGTCCTGGGAAACTAATTTTTGTTGTATGTGGAAGAGTAATGAATATGCCAAGGAATTGTTCGAAATGTAGGGCCTTACAGATGAGTTTTTTTTTTTTTTTCGGTCATTTAAATTGACCAAATTTACGAACCCGGTCTTAACTTAAATTCAGGTCACGCCAATTAACGCCGAGGTTGCGAGAGTGGTTTTTCGACGTCATTTACCGACGTTACCTGTACGCCAGTTGTTATTGATGACGTGTCTTTCGAAACTACGACCTCTTGTTTACCTTTAAAACCGTTACAACGCTTTATGCGTACGTCACTACCGGATAATCGTTCGGCGGTGTTACGCACGATAACGGTTTTAACTACCCCCACTTTTACGTCGTTACCAAATAATAATTATAGAGGAGATTAGAACACTAAGTACTTATTTGTTACGTTCAAATTAGGTTAAGAGATGGGAACACTCACCAAACATTTCTTTCGGGAGCGCCTCCTCCAGGGCCTTTGCACGCAGATCTGGAAGGGGAAGGTGATGATGTCATATAGGGCCACCAGCAAACGAATAGCTCCCAGAGTAACGGTGACTCCCATTGGATATAGATGGTTCCTCGTGTCAAATCGGACGGATAAAAAACGTTGCGCGCGAGAAATTTGTCGATGAAATTACCTAAATGACGTAACAAAACGACTGGATGAGCCGCAATACCACGACACTAACGATGCGATCCGTCAGATACTTGTGGAGAGGAAGCGGAAGTCGGCAATCACGTGGCCTTCCGAGAGGGAAATCGCGTGAAAATAAAATGAATGGGACGTCGTCTCGAACCCCTTTCACTCGGTTCCTTTTAGAATTTCACTTTCGAACCGGTATTAACGGATATATACGAGGGAAGAGGTGGCGCGGGTTCGTATCGGCACGAGCCTCTCGTTTCGTCCACGCTCCGTATAATTAATTAAGAAACGAGTCACGACACCGGTTAAGATGGCAGGCGGAAACGGAAGTGGGGTGAAGACGTAAGAAAAAAAAAGGGAAACGGAAAAAACAGATATATAAACCTCGTCCTCGTAAGCGACTCGACCGGAAATTCGCATCCGATGCCAAGTATTTATCGCCGTCGTATTTCCGGGTTGGCCGGGCCAATCGACTTTCGAATTCGAGGGTCGCCCATCGACGCCTTCGTTACGTCACTCGTCGCTTAACGGGGGACGGTTTTTTTCCCCCGTGGCCCGTGCTATTCGAGGGCGAAGATTCCCGATCGTCGTCGCGCTTACCTGTCGCTCGGCTTCCCGACGGCGTCTGCGCCACCCGACAACTTCTGCCTCTATCCCACCGCCGCCGGGCGCGCGCTCTGTCGGCGCTCCGACGCGACGAAAGCGCGACGTCGAGGTGGCACTCGAAGCGCCCTCTTCCGTCCGATTCCGGTTTCTTTCTAATTCGCGGGTAACTAGCGAAGACACGTGTCGGGCCACGCCGCCATATTTTACAAGGAAGAAAGCCTCACCCCCGGAATAACTTTAAAGAGGAGACGAAGAGAGTCAAGAAATCAGCGTAACAACAGGCGTAGGTAACGAATAAACTCCTTAAAACGTGTCGAAACAGCCCCCTATTATAATACTACGATGCAATCTCACTCGAAACGACAGTAGATTTCGTCACCCGTCCTAATTAATCGCCATAAAATTACCCTATTCCAACGTCAATCCACCTTATATAATGGCTAAGGCGTAACGGGATGAGCTCGTGACTCGGTCGGGAAAATGTTACGATGCTCGAGAACGGTTAGACAAACGAAAATTTGAAATCGTAACGTAGAAATTACACTGCAAATTTAATACGATTCGTTATAGTAAAGGTTACGGAGCGCCTTTGGCAAATAGAATCGTTCCTCCTCCCATACAGGTTCCAAAAAATCCGATGTTGTGTAACGTCACACGCAATTAAGGAAAGCGTAAAAAAAATAATAATAACAACTACGTAAGAAGAATGCGACCCATTAATCGATACGTTCGTTCGTCTGTGCGTAAACGTTACTCAACATTCCTATGTCATGATAGGGATGTTGAGAAATTACACGTTAAGTCTTTAAAAACAAAAAAAAAAAATGGAGGATAGAACGAAATAGAAGGGTCACCTGTCTGTAATAAATATGGAAAAAAATAAAAAATAAAATAAAATACAAGAAAAAAAAAGAAGCCGAACGAGTTTATGAAACAGTCGAATGAACTACGCACCTGATCGAACTCGAACGTTTATCCATGAAAACGCTTCCAAGTTTAAATTTAGAATTAATTCGACATTCTAAAATAAATTTGTAAAATATTTATCGAATTTAAAAAAAAATTTAAATTATAATAAACCTGTGTAAGACGGAATCTAACGATACCGAACATTTTTCCCGTTTTAAACAGGTTTTTTTAAGATAAGAAATCGCTTCGTTCTGTAGGATTTTTCCCCTTTAGACAGGTTTCTGTTATATACAGGTTCCGTTCTGAACAGGTTTTCTTAATACAAGAAATCGCTGTGTTTCGAAGAATTCTTATATTTAGACAGGTATTTTTTTTAACATAAGAAATCGTTGTGTTCCGAAGAACTTTTCCGTTTAGGCAGGTTTTCGTTTTATTTAAGTTCCATTTTGGACAGGTTTTAATGTATATTTATTCATTTACTTAACTGAACAAATAGAAATATGATTTTATTTAATTAAATATATTCTAAATAACAAAGGCCCGCATAGAATATGCCTGTATACGGGCTTTTTACTATAAGGCCTATTAAGAGGTTAATTTAACTAGAAGAGTTTAAGCCTGTATTATTAATTTAATGTTTCTGTGTTTCATGTAATCGTGTGGATCAATAAAAATAACATGAAATATTGGTGTTTCTCTTCTTCTTCTCTTCTCTATACAGTAAAACCTGCCCAAAACGGAAACCTGTGAAACCCGAAAAATATTCGTTTACGCAGGTTTTACTGTATACAGTATATATATATATATATATACAGTCGACCCCCTATAACACTGTTGATTTTTTCGTTTTATATGAATTCCATGTTGTACGAGTCACTTAGATTTTACAAATAATTGAGCCATTCACAGCTCGGCACACGTATTTGTAAAATTTAAGTGACTCGTACAACATGGAATTCGTATAAAACGGAAAAATCAACAGTGTTATAGAGGGGGTCGACTGTATATATATTTTTAATTTCGATTCGGAATATTTTTAAAATTATAGAAACATTCCCATACATTTGTTTACAGGGGAAAATATTATTAATACTGTAGTTGTAAGTTTTTCCTTCAGGAGAAATTCCCTGTCAAACATTAACTGTTCATAAAATAAATTTTAAAAATTATTTATTAATAAAAGAATTTAAGTTATTCTAGAATATAATCCGATTAACAATAAAAACAATATAAAATCGAGATTTACGGTAGTGACTCTTCGCCAAGTATAAAAAGTCATAGACTGACTACATATACGGGTATAAGAGCTACGGATTTTCGGGGGTAGATTTTTTCTGTCTCCCAAATGCGTAAGGTAATTGCGAATATCTCGTTCGAAAGATGATTGTTTTGTTAAGTAGTGTGTAAAATTTCTAAATTTTCTATAGAGGGGTTGCCGAAATATAAGCAATGTAACTCTGATGCGTGCATTAGTTGCAGACTCATGAAAATCTTATTATAAGATTCCTCTGTGGTACGTTATAGCTTCGTGGGGCCCGGGCGAATTTGAATTAGGGGCCTCATGTATAGTATTGACTTCAGTCATTTTTCTACGGAAATATATATATTTTTAAATAAAAGATTGGTTTGAGGTCTCTTTTTAGTGAGAGTTCTAGGCCTTTTTTTTTTCATAGGGTAACGCGCCACTGAGATTTCTTCTGTAATTTTTAGATTCGTGTTTTATTACCTCATTTACTACTCCTGCTTGGCTTTTGACTGCAAATCTTTTGGAGACTTACATGACTTCATTCTCAAGTCTTGCAAGAAAATTCTCATGCCCCATGAGAGTAGGTTTCAATGCTGAAATCATTGGAGGATTTGGTGACATGTGTTGGGAATTTTTGATAAAATATCCTCCTGACAAATCGCCTTGCATTTATTGAATTCCCAAACTGAAAAAATTCGAAATGATAAAATGATTTCTATTGCTGTTTTATTCGATACTGAAGAAACAATACGTGGGATTATTTTGGGGACAATTAAAAGTACTATAAATGAACAACAACTAATTCTGTGGTAATTTCATGGTTTGATTTCGTGCTCCATAATCGTAGTATATTGCTATTTGGATTTCTTCCAGGATATCGACCAATCAAAATGCTTGTTTTATTGAATTTCCTTGTTTCCTCTTTGAGATTTTTTATTGGGTAAATTCCCGACGAGTTTTAAGATCTAAATTCTATACACTATTTATGAGGGCGACATTGTAGTGTTTAGTGTAGGCAAATTTTCAACACCCATATTTTCTTCAAAACTAGTAATATTGCAAGAAATTGCATCAACATCGCTACAATTGTTATAGTTCTTTATAGTCAAAGACACGTTTGAAAAATTGTATTGTATACCTTACCAGGATTGGCCCGAGCTGTAAACGCCCTAGACGACTGCCAAAAATTTATGGGAGCCAAAGACGGTTGGACCTGCCCTGTAACTTACAAAGATCAGAATCGAGATATGACATATGACTTTCCCTCTATCTCCCCACTCCCTCAATCTTTAACCAACAAAATTTAATAGAATTAGCGTCACTAATACATAAACCTTCCTGCTAAATTTTAGAAATTTTCGACCAAAGACACGGGAATTATTAGGTATCAAATGGAGTGAACAAAATCTTGCCCCCCACACCCTATTGACTCCTCGTTGTGGCCACTAAAAATACCTTTCACGGAACCCATTACGGATTCGTCAACGTTGTGGCAATGGAGGGAGCTCGAAACAATTACTCCGATGTTTTACACTTGTAAGCAATGTAATACAGGTAATATTCTTGACACCAACGCCATCTAGTAGCCGTTTTCTTAAGCACGTAACGTTTAACCACTTTATTTTACCTTTAAAATTCGCTGTAAATCAATATGTATTGTTAATAAAGAAATTTTTTTCCTTATTAACAATACATATTGATTTACATAAGTTTTTTCAGAAGTTCTATCTTATCTGTTATGATGCCTGCGCTTCACACTAGAGAAGTACAGTACTTCTTGCGTTTATTGGAGGGGCTAAATCTCGGCAGGTTATAATAAAAACACACAAAAGACACACAAAAATGCCTTATCAGTGTTTAAAAATGCTAAAAAAAATACCCTACTTAGCCCACTAAACAATAGTGGCAGATCGTTCTAATTCTTTTCGACTCTTCCCTGGCTATCCTACCTCTCCACTGATGACCTAGCGAGGGACTTAGTGGTCATAAAATCACTTAAGTCACTTAAAAGTGCCATTAAAAGGTTTTTAAAACAGTATTTTAACATTAAGTCTTGTAATTTGACTTCATATTTTTCACCAGCGTATGAATCTTAATTAAGAAACAATACGAAAAATTATATGGTTGGTAGCTTTAATTCATTAACTACTACAATTTGATAATTTTATTCTTCAGTGATTTATCTCAATATTAAGAATACAACAGGAATTAATTTTAATATTAAGTTTACAAATTACGAACTGAAGTATCAAGTAGAATTTCAACCCTTGGTATTTATATTTTAATAGAATAAATTGTAGAGTTTTATTTGTATTNTTATCGAAGAAAGTATGAATTTGCGAATCATAATGGAGAAATAATTTTATTTTTTCGATATTTTTGAGTGTTTAAAAATCATGCTTCAATAAAGAACCCGTGTAGATAAATATCCGAGTGGAAAATTGTATTATTTAAATGATACATTCACTTTAACCTTAAGATGCTGATTATATTAACCGAAACATTATCTTTACATGCAATGGAAGGGTCTAGTGTTTGCACAGTTTCCTCGTAAAGAAGTAAATTTATGAGGAAACCGTACTTTGTTTTTTTTTTTTAATTCTCACATTTATTAATTGAATTAAGAAAATATCTATTCTAGTTATGGCTGCTCCTGTTAAATCTTTATCTGGGTAAACACTGAAAAATATGTAAACGAAATCGAGTGAAGAGAAACGAAGGAAACTCTACTTAAATAGGAAAAACAACAAATGGAAACACTTACAGGAACACAACTCATGCAAGTTGGTCTGAGTACACTGATATCTCCTTTACAGGTACCCGTTTCGATCCCCGGAGACTGAAAAAATATAGAATTAAAATGCATTTTATTCACCTATGTATGTTATAATTTTACTTATGGTGTGCTTCATTGTCAATTTGTCCCCTATTTTAACATTTTTAAGTAATCGCCGTTAATTTCAATAGACAAATTTTCAGTTTATAATGACAACAACTTCTTGGAAACACTTCTTCACCTTAATTCTTTTTCATCAAATTCTCCAGAGTTTCTTTATAAAAATTTTGGATGACCTTTCGTCGAACTTTCAACGCTCCCGTGACGAAACCACTTTCTGGTAACCATTCTTCGGAACAGAGTTTGACGTATTTAGGAATTTCTTTCCTCATCAAATTGCCTGAATATAAAGACATTAATCTTTTATCATTTATCTCGATAAACGGGTTTAAATAAATCGAGAGACTTACAGCTTTTTCCGTGTTTCTGCACGATTTTGGTGGCACATTCGTTCATTTCTTCGTCGGCGCAAAGACTTTGGATGTCCATTCTTTCCTTGCCTAATTCTTTAGCCAAAAGTTCTAACTGAACTCTATTGGGAACCATCAGAGCCACAACGTAATCTTTGAAACCGTTGCCAAAAACACAGATGTTATCCATCAGAGGACACGTCTTCAGCACGCTCTCTACTTTGCCCAACGGTACGTACTCCCCGTACTGCAGCTTTATCAAATCCTTTTTTCTATCTGCAAAACACAGAAAATAAATGTTCCATCGTTTCATAAAGAATCCTTAACTTCGACTTACCTATGACTTTGATGCAACCGTCGGGATGGATTTCGACGATGTCACCCGTGTAGAACCATCTCATTCCGTTTTCTTCTCGAAAGCTTTCTTGAGTCAGTTCGTCTTTCTTGAAATATCCGTTCGAGAGACATTTTCCACCAACCAGCAATTCTCCTCGAGGATAAGGTTTGTCGGTAGGATAATAATTGCCTACAGACAAATCGTAATTTTTATCTTGCAAAAGAATATTTATTCCTAATCCATGCGAATAAAACTAATCTCCGTAATTAAAATTCAATCGCATTATTACTTTCCTGACTGTTATATAACAGAGGGAAAGTATTGCAATAGGTCAAAAGATTACCTCTATCAAGAATTTTACATTTTTGGACTCGGGACCTTAAAATGCCAAGAAATTTGTACGTCAATTTTTTTCGTATCTACACTTGGTTAATCCCGCTTTTGCGGCCAGAAACTACATAAAAGTGATCACGTAGTACAATAAAACTAACTTGAAACAGACTCACCATCTTCCCATTCGACCAGAGGGAGTATAGAGGTGCACACAGGACCACCCACTCTTCCAATACTGTAGTCGTCCACTAAAAGATAAAAAGAACACGTCAGAAGTAGTCTTCTCGACAACGAAAAATCTTATGGTGGATAGCTGATAATATATCCCTTCTTACAAAACAAGAGATACATTATTAAAACAGTAATGGTGCTTTTTGTCAATCACCTTTCGAGTGTTACAATGTCGGTTGAGAACCATGAAAATATACATAAAGCAAAGATTACTCGTAACAAATAGTAATAGATATAGGGAGACAAAAGTGTGTAATTGTAAGCTACGTTAAAACTTCATAGGGTCTTGGCAAATTCGAATTAAGGAGCCCCATGAATAGTGTTCGAACATTTTTCTTCAGGGGAAATTTTTGAGAAAACCCCCATGTATTGTCTTTCGTGTTTTAACGCGATTTCTGCTCTGTTCCAGTGCATCCTGCGCCGACAATCTAGGGTCCCCAGATATGGCTGAAATTTAAATTTCGATATTCTTACCACAATAATGAGTTTATAAAAGGTTGGTTTGGGACCTCCTGTTAATAGGGATTCCAGCCAATTTCCCTTTTTGCTTATAAACTAACGCGTTACTGTAAAGTGCATATTAAAATTTTCAAGAGAAGCATGACAAAAATCGAATACATTTTGCTACTCTAGGGTATTCGGAATTGAATCTTCAGGAATTTTTCATAAGCAATCTGACAGGCTCGTTCCTCCCTGCCCTGCTGTTTTCATTGTGGGTCTAGCCAGAACCCACGACAAAACTGGAAAATACCTGTTGATAGTGCCGATAGAAAAGAAAGAGAACATTTGATAATACTCACAATCTGTCAAGGTACAGGCTCCTGCTATCTCGGTCATTCCGTACGCCGCAAGAAGGCGAGCATCCAGAGAAGTTTCTATGAAAAGTTGCGTCTCGGGGGAGAGAGGTGCTCCTCCCACAGTGAGAAGCTTTAATCGTCCTCCCACTATTGTCCGAAGACGGTCGAATAACAATCTGAAAGAAAATCGTTTAATCTTGGGTTCAATCTGTTTTCGGGTGAAGGATTGGTTGGTTTCATTCGTTTATGGCAACGCGACATATGGAAGATGCCTCCTGTAGAAGTTACAAAAGTAAAGAAAACCCGGAAAACTCCGCGTAGCCTGTTCGTTGGCCAGGCACAAACCCACCGACCGGCTACCAAATGTTCAATGGTATTATCCACTCGGCCATTGGTGGGCTTTGGGTAAAAGAAAGCGAGTATTTGTGTATAAGTCTTGCAGTGTTTTGACGAAGTTACTCTAACTACAGGTTCTTGTACAGTAGAATCCCGATTATCCGAGGTAAGGGATTCAATCTTAGATAATCGAAATTCTACTGTTTAACAGGGGACCCAAGACCATCTTGGTGTTGCCACGATAACCTTGGGTCCTCGGATTCTTTTACAGTCCATGGGTGAAAATAATTAAATTTATAACGGACAAAACGTGGGTTAGGATAATGTACTTACCTGTTTAAGATAGGAGTCTGGAAGCCATTCTTCTTCCAAAAAGACTTGTATTTAATGGCGAAATTGAAGAAGATTCGGAAGATTGTTCCCTTGGCATCCACCGCTTCTAATATCGACTTTCGAATTCTGTCTAGTACTAACTGACATAAAATACAATAAAACAATCATTCATCGAAGAAAGTATGAATTTGCGAATCATAATGGAGAAATAATTTTATTTTTTCGATATTTTTGAGTGTTTAAAAATCATGCTTCAATAAAGAACCCATCCGATTTACAGAAACAATTTTCCAACACTTTTAAAATAATCGAATTTCTTAAAAATAAAATTATAAATTATTGTAGATAAATATCCGAGTGGAAAATTGTATTATTTAAATGATACATTCACTTTAACCTTAAGATGCTGATTATATTAACCGAAACATTGTCTTTATATGCAATGGAAGGCTCTAGTGTTTGCATAGTTTCCTCGTAAAGAAGTAAATTTATAAGGAAATCGTACTTTGCTTTTTTTAATTCTCACTTTTATTAATTCAATTAACAAAATTCTCACTGAAAAAAACAAATGGAAACACTTACAGGAACACAACTCATGTAAGTTGGTCTGAGTACACTGATATCTCCTTTACAGGTACCCGTTTCGATCCCCGGAGACTGAAAAAATATAAAATTAAAACGCATTTAATAAATAGGTAAATCTAGTAACGAGTTGCCTAACTTTCCAGGCTTTTATAGATTTTATTTTAAAAATAACATTTATACAATTAATCGTAATAAATAAAAATATATGTCGCGCCATCTGTTAGGAGATTTTGTTATAAAAATTTTATATTTTTAATTATTATATAATGGAAAAGATGGAAAGATAGACTGGTGTTAACCTGTATGTGTCATATCATGATTGGGGTGGGAGTTAATGAAAACAGGTAAGAACTCACCTTATCCGACATGGTAAGCGAAGAAGAATAACCGATGCCAACTCCCATTCCCAAGAACAATATCTCTGAAATAAAACAGGAATTAGAAGAAGTTTAACAATGGATTGAATCAATGAATTATTCTTACCACACATCACTTCGTAGATATGAGCCAAGGGAAGATACGCCAGATGAACGCTGTCTTTGTCACTAAAATATTAAATAACTTTCATTAATGAATAATAAATTAGACGTAAAAAACCACGAATAACGTGATATTCATCCTTATTAAATCAAAAATCCACAACGGACCAAATCATATACTCACAACATGGGATTAAATATATCGTATAACCCTTGAGAACAATTCAGTATACACTTGTGAGTAATCAACACTCCTGCAATTGTTTAAAATATTCTAAATTAATACAAATAATTTAATTACAGTAGTGTTTTTAGAATAATAAAGAAGTCGATTATTAGCCTAAATACAAAGAGGAATATAATTCAGTGTTCGTTAAAAAGTACAACGTACTGTGAGTTATGCTGTGCTTCAGTGTCCGAAATTAAATGAACAAATGGTGTTTTTGAATAGAATTATAAAATAATTTAAGCTACAAAAACCAAAAATTAACACACATACTGTATGTAAATTTACCAAGATAGGGCCAATAAAGATCCACCACACACCCAGAAGCCCACTATTTGGTTGTTATCGCTAACTGTCATAGGGGAATGACAGTTATTCAGCTTTCCAATGAGCTCTTCTCAGCTATCTGTGGAACTATTTCCAGGCAAACTGTTTATTGAAGGCTTCAGGAGAGTGGTTTTTATGCAATTTGTGCAAGACGGTCAGTGGCATCTATCCCTCTTACTCCTCCTCGAAGGAAAACTCGCTTGAATTGGTGTTGTGAACATCAGTTCTGCGCCCAGGATCGGGGTCCATGTTCTCTTTTGTAATGAGTTGCGAGTCAGTCTAGATACTGATTCGAAACGAGTCACCTTCATCTGAAGACAACTTTGGACCCACTTCTATCCCACTAACATTAGGAAGAGAAACCATTTTGGGGAGGGGATCTCATGGTCTGGAAAGCATCGTTTTGAACGGCTTTACACCTCTCCATGTGTTTGAGGGCGGCACCCTGACTGCTTAAAGTTATAGGGACGAGATCCTTTGAGCCTTATGTAAGACTTATCAGCGGTACATTTGGCCTCCAATTTATTTTTTAGGCTATAATACCCGTTTACAAAATGCACTGCTGGTAAAATGAATTTGTCGACAGTGAGGTTATTCAAAGGATGGATTGGACAGACAGATCTTTTCAACTGAATCCGACAGAATATTTCTAGAGTGACCTAGGGAGACGCATTGGATCTCGTCATACCTAACAAAACCCTCCCTGGGTTAATAGAAAACTCCCGGGGTTAAAATCCATTCTTTTAGAGGAGTGGGATTTATTACCACAAGACCTCCACCACAGCCTGGTGTTCAGCATAAAAGTTCGCTGTGAGAGTTGTATAGCAGTTAGAAGTGACCATATTCACTATTGAACCCCTAGTTTTTGGACCAAAAAATCGGCTGCTTCATTTTTATATGTTTAGCATAATTTGCAATGGCGTGCCATCATTAGAAGCGTTGGAAGCGCCGCTTCCCTCGTATTCTCTAAAAAATAAATAAATATTAATTTTAATTATATGAAAATAATCGCACAATATTTTATTATAACCGCATTATGTATCTTATTACAAATTTCTATACTACACGTGGAAAAAA